TGCATCAATTAAAAAATATTGCTATAACTTCAGATCATGTTCAATAGCTTGGGCTGGAATCATTTTATCCTGTAAAGAAATCCAAACTGTAGGAGAATTTTTGAATTGTGCTAATGCGGATACCCCTGTTGTATCCCGAGAAAAAAAATGAAGTTGTTTGGGTTTTCCATGTCCCTTTTAATTTGATCTGTTTTGAAAGGGTGAGAAAGGATCGCTTGGGGAGAAAGGATCACAAGGAAAGGATGGACCTCAAGTAGAAAAGGGCAGACAGGGACCAAGGGGAATGCCGGGAACATGTGATGCTAAGGTATTCGCCTCAAGATATTTGGGCGTTTCTTGGTGTGGTTATTGTTTTGTAACTTTTCAGTCTTTTGTACGTCATTTCGTGATCTCACTAGTAAGCAACACCAAGAAACTACCATATTTCCTACTGTAGATTTTTACCCAATTATAAGCTATATGTTCCATGTAACAAGAACCCCTCCCGAAGGAATTTTTCCTCTCTCAACTTTACAATTATGGTACCGGGTCAACGTTCACTTGTGAGACAAGTTTGTTGTTGCCTCTCGGGCAACTTTCCTTCTTTCCTTCACACAAGTAATCTGCAAATTCAACTTTAATCAGAGAAATAAGATGGCCATCTTATCTATCTTATCTATTATCTTATCTTCATCTCTCTCTCTATTCATTTCATAGTCATAAGCACAAATTTTTTCAACCATTAACAAGACGAAGGGTTCTATAGGTCCAATGTTGAAACACCTTTTTTTTGTCCATAAGAGTTAAACCAGACGGTATTAGCTGGTCAACCTTGTAAATAAGATGCTTTTTGTTGTTTCTTTCTGTATTTTAAAGCTTCTCTTCTGGTAAATCAAAATGTTGTTCAGCTGCCGGTAAGAACACTAAATTGTTTTATTCTGTCTGTGATGCAGACAGATTCTTATGTTCATCTCTATAACACATGATGTTCCTCTGCCAAGCAAAGTTGCAGAACTACAATACTAAAATAACTCTTTTCCTCTGTGAGCGAAATTTTCGCTCCAGTTTTTTTTTTAGGATTGATTATTTTATGTGTTTTGCGAGAAGTAATTTTTTACTTTTAGGACAGGCTAGTTTTTCTAGTTCGAAAGTCGCGTTCAAAACTGGATTGATAACATTTTTAAAATTTGATCAAGCAAAAGCTATTGTTCGTTATGTATAGCGAATTTTATGTATAAATCCCCTATATCTGCAGTCAAGTAAAATTTTGGTGTAATCTTTCTTCGCTCTTAAGAGGGGAAAAAACTGCACAAACCCGTAAAAATATAAGCTTAGCTCCACAGGTATATCAATTTTTTTCTGCGTTTTTTGAGTTATTTCTGCATGGAAAAGGCGATTCATGCAAACATATTTTTTATCTCTCTGTTTTTGTCTTTGAAAAGATTGCTCTGTTGGATTCCACTTCTTCGAGAAAGTTCAAGATCTACTAACCCGAGGAGCAGCAAGTGTGGAACATTTCACCATTGATGGAAGTTTGTTTCTTGCTTTCGCCAGTTACTATGGTGATATTAAGAAATACAAGGCAAGTTCCATGATCTACAAGATGGACAAATCAAGTGGAAGACTTTCTTTGTACCAGACCCTGCAGACAAGGGGAGCGTATGACCTGGAGTACTTTTATATCGCTAACAAACATTTTCTTGCTGTCGCTTATCTTTACGATGGAACATATCGGCTGGACTCTACAGTCTACCGATGGAATGGAAAGCTGTTTGTGGACTTTCAGAAATTATCAACAAACGGAGCAAGACACTTCACGTACTTCAAGATACACGGGGAAAATTATCTCGCAGTAGCCAACGGCCATGATGGAAGTACCCACTCTACAAAGTCAGTGATCTACAAATGGGGCAGTGGCAAGTTCAACAGATTTCAAGACATACCAACTGAAGGTGCCTTGGGAAGTACAGCGTTTGTGATAAACGGTGACACATTCATCACTTTTGCAAATCATTACAACTCCCAACACAGGTATTCTGTTCAGTCCACTGTGTTCAAGTGGTCAAGAGGTCATTTCGTCAAACTGCAGTCCCTTCAGACTTACGGAGCGCACGATGTCAAGTCTTTCAACATCAACAGTCACACTTACCTCACTTTTGCTAGCCATTACTCTGGAAGTAAATACAACATCGACTCCCTTATTTACAAATTGGATGGCAACAAGTTCGTCCTGTTCCAGTCAATTCCTACTCGAGGAGCCACCGCATGGTTTCCATTTGTGATCAGCGGTCACACGTACCTGGGTGTAGCTAATAACCACGGTGATAGGCAGAAAGACAACACTCAGTCAGTTGTGTACCAGGCCTCTGGAGCGCGGTTTATCAACTACCAAGAGATTCCAACACAGGGGGCGTGTGGTATGACGTCATTTGAGCACAAAGGTCATACTTACCTTGCAGTGGCAAACTACTACAATGGACAGAAGTACAACATAAACAGCACCCTGTACAAATGGGTATAGAGCACAATGCCAAGATCCAAGCATAAACGAGATAACCTAAGAAAAAGAAACTTTAAACGTGGCTGTTTATCCATTAAGATGGGTGCTTATGCGAAGGGAATGATACAATTTTTTAGTTGATTAAGTGAAATGTTAGAAAACAGCTTTATTATCGTCGCGGCGATTAGTTGTAATAAAGATGTGCTCGGAATACTAAGAAGTTGTGTATTGTTATTTGAACGAAAATCCTACAAAAATGAGTCTGTGTCCTAGCTTGTATTTCTGTCCATCTCAACGTTATGTATTATAATGAGCACAGCTTGAGCAATCAGCAAAAGGAAAGGAAAGTTAAAGAATGTATAGGCTTTGAACGGTGATTCCTTATGCAAGTAACGCGAGTTTTTATTGGCCCATCGATGAACGTAGCAATGTCGACTAAAGCATTCAGGAATGGCGCTACTTTGAAAACCGTCGTTTTATACATTGCCAGTTAGATGCAAGAAGTGTTCGAGCGCTCAGATTTTCAAAATCAGCTCAGCTTTTCTGGAATATAGGCGTTTTGAGGCTAGACGAGCCGTTGTCTTCTGCTCACTATCAGCCTACAAAAAAGCAAAAAACTGCAGGAACGTAGTCTACAGGTCGGGCACTTTACGCTTATCTACTCCAGATGCAAAATATCGGCTTCGGAAGCACGGGTGTGTGCAGAAAGGAAATTTCCGATATTTGTGGGTTAAAAAGTCGTGGAATTTTTACCTTTCTCTTTCCCTCCTCCCCTCCTTTTTCTTTTTTCTTATTCAGTGTTTTTGGTCCTGGGAATTTATTTGGCCTCATTTCCGTGGGAAACGTTTTGGGGAACTCGAGACCTACGGGATTAGAAGGAAGGAAGTGCAGGTGGGTAGTGGAGGATTTTCATCCCCATTTTCGGCTCAACGTTTAACATATTTTTTTGTCTTTTTATCCGGCCTCCTTGACTTAATCGTTCGGGCATTTTATTTTATTTTTTCTTTCATTTTATTATTTTGCCACCCAAAATAAATTACAAGTAAAATAAAAGAAGATAATAAATAGGTTATTTAACCAGTTAACATTATATTGAAAATTAGTACACAGCTTGGAAGAAATGACTGTGGCGGGGAAATCTCCGAGAAGCCAACGAGCTTATGAGGAATGGAGAGTTTCCCCCTCCGGCAATTTACGAGGCATTTAAAAATAAAGAAAAAAGACGTGTATTTCAATTATATAAGCGTGTTTAGAGAAAAATATACATATTAAGTATTAAGGTATTTAGGTTGCATTTTGTCTGACCCTTAAAAATGGTTTGATCACACGCTTGAATATATTAAAAGTCGGGGCGTTTTTGATGTTATTCGGCCAGAGAGATGAATTCCATATTCTAGGACATCGAAACAGGATCAAAATTTTTTAAATATTTGTTGTAAAGGCATGAGGTCGGTAAAAGTCAGAGTAATTATGGTTGAATATTGATGAACCTGATTTCCAGTATTAAAGATTTGAGTAAAATAAATAGGTAAAGCATCATTATGATATATGTACATGAAAGAACTTACATGGACATAATAGATACTAAAAACATCAAGAATTTTCAAATTTGCAAAAAGAGGTTTACTTGAAGCTTAGGCATGGTTTGAGAGATTTCTTGCTCCTACAAAAGTTAGATGACAAAGTTGTCTTTGAGCGCTAAAATTGATGACGTCGTAAACGGTACAAGGGCGTGGATCCGTGCGTCGTCACCACACAGTACGACATAGACCTTGCTGATCCTTGCAGTATGCAGGACGGGTGTCGAACCTAGTATATGGCCTCGCTCTCGATGAGTTCTCCATAGCTCAAGTGGATAGAGCGCCCGCTCGGTGTCTGGGAGGTCATAGATTCACATCGCGTCAGGGACTCAGATTTTTTCTTTGTCCCACGCTCTTGATACGCTGATGAATTCATTTTCACATTTGTTTCACCGCGCTTAAAATTTATCATCTTTCATTCTTTTAATGCTGGGAGTTGTTGGCGAACAACATTGCGTCCGTTTGCACGGGGCTTAAGTGAGAACTAGTCTGTGACTACTTTTACCTAGCAAGTGAGTGCACCATAAGGTAATCTTATTTTTCACTTTTTTTTTTGATTTTTTTCCTGCGCGCAGCGCTGGTATCCTCTTAGCATTCCAGGGCATTAGAGACAATCGGCTGGAAGTCTCGGGGAAGTCATCTTGCTTATTTAAACAAGTTATCCCGTTTTTTCCTTCTTTTTTACCAAGTAAAGCCCTGTGCAAACGGACATAACTTTCCTGGCAAACAACTCCCAACATTGCTAGATGATACATGTTGCATCCGTTTCTACACCTTGTTGCATGTTGTTGCGCGTGCACAAATTTTGTAAGCGGTTAAACTTTTGAGCCTACAACTCCCAACATTTCTTTTGTTTCGTGATCGTCGAAGCGTAGCGCAACAATTTTGGATCCGTTTACGCAGCTCTTCCAACATTGTTGAAGCCACGCACTCGCATTACACATTGTCTCCAAAGTTTTATAGGTCATATCCTTCCCACGATGCACTGCAGGTCCCAACATTGCTTGGAGTTGTTGCATCTGTTTGCACTACGGCCAACACAGACGCAGCAACTCCCAACATACCCTCCCACCTCCCATTGGCCAACGCGTACCCCCCCTCTCCGTTCCCCGTATGTAAAATGGTAATGATCATAACGACCTATCAAACCGTCTTTAGTAACCTTAAAATCTGCAGGCTTGGCCTTTAAATTAGTTTATCCCGGCCTGTTTCCTACTGTCTTTTTAAATTAATTTCATCTGATCATTAGTTTCATTTTATTGCGAGTCTTCCCAAACCGAATTTACGAAAACGATCGAGAGCTCCACATGGTGGCGCACTGGTTTGCCGAAGGGATGACCCGAGCAAGAATCTCAACTGTTTGGGATAAATGGCCACAAGCGTGACGTTTTTAATTGACGTTTTTGATTGACGTTTTTAATTGAAACCAATGATAAAATTAACTAATTAACATCTTCAGTGCACAGTGCTGCACAGTGCTGATAAGAAACGGGAAATTCCCCGAAATAATATGACATTATGATTCCATCTTCTCACTATACAGTCAACTCTCTCTAAGACAGACACCTTTGGGACCGGCACTAGCTGTCCGTCTTAGAGAGATGTCCGTCTTATAGAAAGTCAAATAGAGGGAGCTAAAAAAGGCAGGGACCAACTCTAGGTGTCCGTTTTACAGAGGTGTCCGTCTTATACAGGTGTCCGTTAAGAGAGAGTCGACTGTAATGTTTTCTTTTTCGTACTTTTTATTATCTTTCATTCTTATCTGTTATCTTCATCATCATCATTGTCACTATTTTGTTACAGTTTAATAGTTTTGTTTACTTATTATTATTATTATTATTATTATTATTATTATTATTAGTAGTAGTAGTAGTAGTAGTAGTAGTAGCAGTAGCAGTAGCAGTAGCAGTAGCAGTAGCAGTAGCAGCAGCAGCAGCAGCAGTAGCAGTAGCAGTAGCAGTAGCAGCAGTAGCAGTAGCAGTAGCAGTAGTATCATCATCGTCTGATGTGGTTCTTATTATTTCTGTTGTAGGGGGAGGAAGGAGAACCAGGAGTAGATAAAAACAGTAATGGTGGTGTTAAAGTAAGCGTAACTTTATACTTCTTTTTGAAGACAGAAATGACCAATTTTCAGGGTCCAAAACAAAAAGGAAGGCGCATGCTTTATCCTTACAGCAACAAGCGACTCATTCAATTTTCTTTAGTGGTCTTGTGTCTGCACCGTTGTAAATATTGCTCGGTTTGGGTCAAATTTGATTTCTCCAAACCTGCGGATTCCTTTCGGGTTAAAAACAAGTACCGCATGTCTCTTTAAAATCGTTATTAATTTTTTTGTTTTTGTATCGCTACAATTAAGGACAAAGTTGTGATAGGTTCGTATAATTACAGAGATCTTAAGCAAGCTGCTAGAATATTAATATATGTTCATCATTAACAATTACTCTTGATTTCTCCACAAAGGGTGAGAAAGGATCTCGTGGTGATAAAGGGTCACAAGGAGAGAAGGGATCACAAGGACAAAAAGGGATTCCGGGAACGTGTGATACAAAGGTAATTGTTTTAAAACATTTTTTTTCAGATTTTCACTCTCTATAATCTTTATGCATTAATAATCCTTTTACGAAAGCCATATTAATGCAATTACCGTAGACTTCATACACGTGTTGCATGCGTGTTATTTTTAAAGGGAGAAGCGTGCTTGAGTGAGCGGCAAGGCCATGACAAGTGACAATATAGTTTTTTACTGGTACAATTCAAGTCAACTCGCATGTCCCACAAGGAAAGAAGAACAAAATAACGCTCGCCGTCTATGTTCTCTAACACCAAACATGATGTTATCATTAGATTAGCACATTGTCATTCTAACAGCGGAAGCCTTTTTTAATCCCTTGATATCCGATCAAGGGAGAAGTTGACTGTACGAGTGTTAAACCTTATAGTTTGCATAAATAACTACATTAGGGGATTGTTTGCTTTGTTAGCGACTGTCTGTAAATGTCGACCGAAATCGACTTTTTGTGGCACAAGTTCAAAATTCGATAACCCTTAATTAATTAGTAATGAAACATGTTGTAGTTAGTTTCCCAAATAACGTGTTCTTTTGTTAAAATTCGAGAAAACTCATTTTGCCCGTTTGGAGCTCGAAATCCACTTCCGGTAAAGCGAAATTTTACACAAATTTCTTTGACTCGTACGTCAAACAACTACGATTTGGCAGCTTTTGAAGAACACGAATAGTTTTTATGACCCTTTCTTTCTTATAAGACGATAAATTTGTGAAAGCTGTGATGATTTTGTGGCCAACAAAGTATTGTTAAAAATAGGCTCTATTGACAATTTCTACAGTTCAAAATTATAAGGATAAAATAATGCAAATTTTTACAATGCGCCATAACTTAGAATGTCGGAAATTGACGCTCTACGGCATTACTAGGTCCCAAT